CCCCGCGTTCCAGAGCATCCTCGCCTCCCGCCAGCCCGCGCTCACCCCGCCGCCGCTGACTGCGCCGATGCCATCGAACTCCCGGCCCAGCCCGTCGGAGTCGTCGAGCACGTAGGCGCCGCTGAACGCTAGCAGTGCGCACAACAGCAAGGGCACCGCGACACGGCCTGCCGAGCCCGCGGCGGCGGCGGCGATCATGGCTTTAGCCCGGCGTTGCTGGGAAGCCTTAAGTGGCCTGTCAGCCATTGTGCGGGTCACGTGACCGTGGCGCCCAGGGAGGCGGGCCCGATCGCCTCCATGATGAAGAACAGGGGGCGGCTGAGGCAGCTTTCGCCATCTTAAGTAAGGGCGGCGGGCTATCCGAGCAGCCGCAGTAGTGTTCAGCAGGGAGCAGCTGAGCGAGCTTTACCTTGGCACTCCTGTGTCAATGAGGTGGTACCGGTCTGTGCGTGTAATTGCTTAGTGACCACTCCTGCTACCTCACCTGATGGATCATGGTAGTGAATGGGAAGTGGATGGTCAACAACTGCCAAAAGATGAGGGCTGTGAGTGGTCCTACCCTAGTATCTCAGTCCTACCCTAACAGCTCATTCTCAGCAGGAGACCGCAAGGAAGGGGACCTTGCTTGAAGCCCCAAACTAAGCACCCAATTAAGCCGTCATCTTGGTTGAGTTGCTTGGTTTTAGGACTCTGAACTTTTCTAAACCAACAAGAACGGCAAGTCAGGGAACCTGGGATTAAATAAGATAAAAGCAAGATAATGGGCACTCAGGAGCACTTAGCAAATGCTCACTGACAGAGTTTCCCTTTGATTAAGCACTCTGCTCTATCCAGGGCTTTTAGCCTTAAAGGAGTTGAGAATATGATTAGTCTACCATAAAATGTTGCTGTAACATATGACTATTTTGAATTAGAAGAGCTAAACTATACAATAGGTCCAGGATACTCTGACCTTTATTCTGTTTCTAAAAGGAATATGAAAGTCACTTAGGAAAGACGCCCTGACTAAACTATGAGGAAGCAGCACTGTTGGCCGATTCTTGTTACAGTAACCCTTACCTTCCTGCTCACTCTCTAGGTTAAATACCCTACCAGGTACATCCAGCCCTGGGCCTGCAGACCACATGTAGCAGATGTTAGCTATAGAGCAGCCCACCACAAAGTTATGCATATACCTAACTCAAAACATTATGAGACTGTTGATGATTCAAAGAAAAAAAACACTCAAATGTGCAGACATCAAGTGTGAAGTCTATAGTTGACAACAGAATGTCACAATAGCAAAGGTTGGACAAGACTGCTGACCCGTCTGCATGACCATATCTTACACACTCCAGCTACTTCCTGGTCTGTTCAGCTTATAAGTCATTGACCTGTTTGGAGGAAGGGGTGTTTTCTTAGGGGATGGCTCTGTGCCCTGTAACTTGAACTTGTAAGCTTCTTCCACCTCCTTCTTCACATCAGTTTGATTCTTAGGCCCAACCAGGACCCAAAGATGGAAAAGGTAAATGTCTACTTCCTTGACCCACTGTCAGTAAACTGATCCCAGGAGATAACCCTAAATCACTAGGGACATTGTAAATTCCCTAACCAGGGAATTCTGGTTCCCCTGATATTATAGAAAATTAGAGCATGAAAGACTAAAGAAAAAGTTAATTTTTTTCCTCTAAAATTTCCTTTACTGGGAAGCGTAGAATCATTTGAGTTCCCATGTAAGCTCCTAAGACACCAGAATGGCAAAGAGAAGACAGGGGTACATGAGCGTTAGCATAATTATCTCTGTAGGAAGTTACATTGTTCCTTAACAACAAAGCTAAATCTGTGTTTCAGGACTGCTCTCTTAGGTACCTTTTTTGTTGTTGTAACAAAGTATCTGATAAGTGGTTAAGCCAGGGAAGTCAGGGTTTATCTTGGCTCACAGTTGGCAGGGAAGTCATGCCAGCAGGACCCTGTGAAACCTGGGTATGTTGCATCTGTAGTCAGGAAGCTGAGAGCTGAATGCTGGCACTTAGCTTATATCCTTTCTGCTCTGTCCAGGACCCACCCCCGTCTATAGTGTCAAACCACATTCAGGGCGAGTCTCCTGTAAAAGCCTTTCTGGAAACAACTTCATAGACACACCCAGAGGTGTGTTTTGTGGTGATTCTAAATTCAGTGAAGTTGATAGTGAAGATTAACCACCACAAACACAATTATAGGAAATTATATGAAAGGGTAAAATCGAATCACTTGGAAATCACATAATCAACTTTATGAGCTGCTGTGATATCTCTAGGTTCTTTCTGGACAAGAACTTTGTTCATTTCCACCTCTTTAGGTGTGTAGGTGTGTGCATATGCATGTGTTTGTACGAGAGTGTGTGTGTGTGTGTGTGTGTGTGTGTGTGTGTGTGTGTGTGTTATGCAAACATGGAGATATGCACCATATCTTGAAGAGGCCAGAGTAGGTGTTCGGCTGGCTTGCTCTATGACTTTCTACTTCATGACCTTGAGATGGGATTTCGTACTGAACCAGCAAGCCACAGTAATCCACCTCTCTCCTTCACCCTCCACAGCGCTGGGATTACAGGTGCCAGCTGCCATCCTCAGCTTTTTATGCAGGTGCTGAAGGTGTAAACTCGGGTCCCCATGCTGATGGAGTAAGTGCTCTCACCTCCTGAGTCACATCCCCAACTCTTCCACCTTATCTTTTGAGGCAGGGCCTCTCACCGAACCTGGAACTCACATCACAAACCTGAAAGGAGGGAGTTAACGCCAGCAGCCAGCATCTGCCCTCCTGCAGTATACCCCATTCCTGCTTTTCCTTGGCAGACAGGCACAGATGGTGTGCAACGTGTGAACTGGGGAGAAGAGGACACGGAAACCATTAAGAGAACAGGTAGCCTCTGGCCACCCCTGCTCCACCCGTCCAGGAAGTATTACAGTTCACGCGTCAAAGAAACCAGCTGTTGTTTCAGATCTCTAATCTATACTCAGGAAACCAGCAGGAAAGCATTCTGTTTAAAAAAAAAAAAAGACACGTACACAAACTGGAAAAGAAAATCCACTCTATGAGATGAAGAGAAATCACGGTTATCAGAAAAGCACTCCTGTTTAGTTTCTCTCACGTGTATGGATTCAGGATCAATGAGATAAGACTCGGAGAGGAAGGTCAAGGTCACACATTTCAAATGTGTTATTTTAGGATGTGAGGGCAATCTGGTTGCGACATCTGTCACCCCATTGATCTCCAGGGTTGATTGGGCTGATCTTGCAGGCTAGGCAGGTGTCCCTTTCTCCCTCACCACTCCATGTGTGTCCCCCTGCAAGCTGTGCACTCAGTCGAAGAGCTGTGCACTTCCCCGAATAGAGAAGGACCCATCTTTGGTCAAGGGTATACTAGTAGCTGCGTTCCCCTGCTAGAACCTCCAAACAAGCTCTCAAATGTGTTGTTTTAAATGCTTTAGATCAGAAGTATTCCTGTGTATCCTGTTTATGTCCCTATACATCTGTCTATTTTATAAGTTAAAGCAAGAGAAAAACCATAATCTTTTGAGAAAGATGAGCAATTTTGCCCTCTAAGAAAATGTGCTGATTAAGTTTTATAACAGTCTGTTGCAGCTGTTGTACCATACTGTACACACACACATGCACACACACACACACACACACATGCGCATACACACACAGGCACACACACACACATTCTAAGCAGTGTCCATCACATGGTACATATTCCGCATATATTTCTTGACTTTAAATTTTTGAAAGGTCACCAGTCGAATGAAGAGATAAGATGAATTATTCACTAACGGAGTTGGAAACATTCTTGGGAGACATCCCCAGTGTGGGACAGGAGGTGAAGATGTGTCTCTTCACAACCATCCTGTAATATCTGCTGGTTGCTCTTCGACTCTGGATATAGTTGCTTGATTGCAACTATAAACTGTAAAGCAACAGGGGCTTGTAACTCAACTTCCATCAAAAATTCTATGATTGTGGGGCTGGTGAGATGGCTCTGGGTTAGGAACACTATATACAGGGCCAGAAGGGCTAGAGTTTGGAGTTTTTATAAAGTCTGGCATCAACATGCAGCTGTAACTCCTGTGCCTCGTCATCCAGTGCTCTTATCTGGCTGCCCTCTCTCTGTAAACATGCAGACTCACACATGTGTGTGCATGCACTCACACTGACATATTCGTGAACATCATCTAAATATATGTAATATGTAATATCAAATATATATTATATATGACACATATATATATGACTCGCATGCATGTGTGTGCATGAACTCACACAGACACATTCATACACATAAAGTTTATGTATATATGACACACATAATGGGAACCAGAGAGATGGCTCAGGATTAAGAGGCTTGGCTGCTCTTCCAGGGACCCATTCTCAATTCCTAGTGGTGCATCACAATCATCTGTAACTCCAATCCCAAAGGATTTGGCAATCTCTTCTGGCCTCTATGGGCACTGGGCATGCAAGTGGTACCCAGATAATGGGGAATCTCAGCCAATCATATTCTGCTTAAAGTGTGTCCCCCTGAGGCCACACAAAACAAATAAAAGATCGAAGTGCCTGGTGTTCTCTGGTCATGTAAGTTTTTCCCCTTTTATTAAAAGCTAAATCTTTTTGTATTGAGTTGGCCTGGTTAATTATCAATTGACCATGCCCCGCCACACCCAGACATACATGTAGGCAAAACACCAAATCATTTTTTAAATCTGCTAACTCAGAGCAATAGATTACAGTGAAAATGGTTTGGAGGGAAGAGTCTACCAAGTGGAATAAAATGTACATTGCCTACTGCATTTTCTTAAGAGTACATGAGTGTTCCTCCTTTCTCACATCCAGAAAAAAAAATAGATTGGTCTGGATTTATTACTGAGTTGGGTGCACTTTTGTGTTACTTTGTTTTAATGCTGTTTATCCTTTATACTTCTTTTATTAGCTGGTTATTTATTTGGGGGGTTGACCAACCATGACACTGTGCACATGTGGAGGCCCAGAGGTTCCCTCCTTCAGCATGTATCCCAGGGATTGAACTCAGGTCATCAAGCATGCAGTGAGCACCTTCACCCACTGAGGCATTTCACCAGCCTTGCTTAGGCTCTGAGTTTTGGTTCTATAATCATCCAGACCTGTAACTAAATCCCCATGGTAAGAGTGTTGGGAGGCAGAATGATGCCTCCTTCAAGAATGAAGAAACAAGAGTCTCCGTCTTCCTGCTTTCAACGGGGTCACCAGACTCCTTCAGTCAGTTTCTTCAGACTGCCCTTTGGCATTGGAAGGGCGACCAGAGTAATGGAGTGGAGAAATCTCACTGGAACCCCAGGAGTCCAAGGGAGGTGGTGCCACAGAGACTCCCGGCACAGTGGGGTCAGCAGCATCCTAACCTGAAAGCCCAGGTCGGGTGATGGGGTTTTCTGTTCTTTGTCTCTAACAAGTTTCCTAAGCCTCATCCTCAGGGCTCCGCATCATTCATGGACCACACCCTGACTGCTTTCCAGGTCACTTTCTGCGGCAGGTGGCCACAGTTTCTGTTGTTTGCAGCAGAGAACCTTGGCCGAATATTACCTTGGCTACTGTGATCATCACAACGAGTTTCCCCACTTTGAAAATTGCCTCCTCTACCTGTAGTTCATTTGTCAGCCGTGTTTACTGTATGCATTTGCTCAAGCAGGGGGTTTTCTAGCTGGATCTGTGGTTTGTCTGCTCTCTTTTCAATTGTCAAGATCTTTTTTCCGCACTCCTGCCAGGAGAGGAATTTAAGAGTCTACCTAGTGCCTAGGCATGAAGAAAATAACAGTTTATATGTTAGTGACTTTTTTATTTATTTTTTCTGTCACTGTAACCAAATAACTGACAAAAAGCAGCTTGAGGAGGAAGGGTTTGTTTGTCTTAGAGTTTAAGAGGCTATAATTCATCATGATAGAGGTGATATGGCATCAGGGTGTGATGGGTCTCAATGTCACATTGTGTCTGCCACCAGGAAACAGACAGTGAACAGGAAGTGGGGCCAGGCTAGACAAAAATCAAGGCCCATTTCACTGGCCCACTTCCTCCAACAAGGCTCCAACTCCTAAGGCTTCCACTACCTTCCCCAAACAGCACCACCAGGGGGACCAAGCACTCAAACACATAAGATTCTGCAAAACATTTCATGTTCAAACCACAACGCAGTTCAAGAGGGAGATTATTTCAACATCCAGTACAATATGGCCCAACAGAGATAATAGCAAACAGGCATCGTTTGATTTTTGCTACCAGCCACATTCATGTTAAAACAGAACATTAACTTCAATGGTGGATTTTGTTTAACCCCAGATATTAAAAATATTACCACCACATTTTTTCATAATTAATTTTCTAAAGACCTATACTTAGTGCATCTATCACATCTGAGTTTGGATAAAACCTCACTGTATCTCAGCAGCTTTTCCCCCAAGAAGCCCAGAACCCCATCCTTTCCTTTCCTTCGTTTGCCTCTTTTGAAGTTCAATCCATAGGCTTTCCCCTTCGTGCCAAGAATCTTTTCTCTTTAGGTAACCGACACAAAATGACTAACTGAATGTGTAAAAAGAAATAAAAATGAGAACACGTAGCGGGATGTCAGAGCAGGATCCCGCCTTATCTACTTGCTGCTCTTCATCTTGGGAACAGTACCAGAGAAGTGATGCAGCTTCAGAACAACAAAAGGAACCTTCATCACCGGAAGAGGAGAAGTCCGAATCCAGCAGATCCACATTCGTTTGCCTTGTTTCCTCGTTCAAGCCCAATGTGCTACTTCTGGCCAATGTCAGGTGCCTACGTTGTGATCTCAGAAGACAAGAAAACTGACTGGTCAAGAATTCTGACTCCGCAAAGCCAGTGTTCTCTGTTCTCAATAACTGTTCGTTGATTTGACCTTTATGTTGTTAAAACACCTCGGCATCTCAGGGCTCTGAAGTTTCTAACTATTCATATTGAATATCCCTATAATTAAAACATGATACTGCTATATTTTTAACTTAACAAGGTGCCAACTCCATAAAAGCTGGCGAATGTCTCCTTGTGTGAAGTAAGCAAGGTTTTGTCATACTCCGCTAACATTTTTTTCTTTACTTAAGCAGAAGTGAAAGTTTGTATTTCAAGTTCTTTAACTACATCCTCTTTTTTATCTGAAGAGTAAAGTACATAGATATTGACATGGATGTGAAAATGCTCTTTCTCTAAAAACAGAAGTAGGGTCTATCGAGGTAAAATTAGATGTGAATCATGAAATAGAAAACAATAGTTAGGCAAATGTGCAAAACCAAGCAGAAAAAAAGAGATTTGGGGATTGTAGTTATGACTAAACAGAAATTATTATTTTCTTTTTGGTAAATTTTAAGCCTTTTTTCTGTAGGTGTGTGTAGGTACATGTAAGCATGCGCATGTGTGTGCAGATTCACAGATGTGTGAATTTTTTTAAAAAAAAAATTTAAGACAGTCTTTGCCTAACCAGGAACTGCCTGTCTCTACCTTCTTAATACTGGGATTGCAATCGTTTACCACCACACTGGGCTTTTGTGACATTGGTTCTGAGACTCGAACACAGATCCCTATGGGTGCAAGGGGAGCACTGCATTAAGTCAGCCACCCCTAGCTCTGCCCCTGAAACCTTTGGCCACTCAGTTTTTACATTTTACATACACTTTTTATCATCTCAATGGCAATATTCCCTGAGGTTTTCAGTTGCTAAATGATATTTACAAACTCTTTAGTGCTTTACAAATGCATTTTTAATTATTCATTTGTTTATTTGTTTATTTGAGATAGTTTCTATGCATATCCCTGATTGTACTGGAACTTGCTCTGTAGGCCATGCTGGTCTCAAATCTCAGTGATCTGCCTACTTCTTCCTCCTGGAACTTGCTCTGTAGGCCATGCTGGTCTCAAAACTCAGTGATCTGCCCACCTCCTCCTCCTGAATGCTGGGATTAAAGGTGTGTGCCACCAAAGTTAGGCATATTCTTAAAGACATACGAAGAAATTTTCAAAAGCTTTCACATTCCTGATGTCCCCTAGTTACTCGAAGATAAAAAATTTTGGCTGTATCCCAAGATTCCATTCTTCCATCTACCAACCCAGACAATGTATCCTCACTAGAGCCTAAAAATAAGTCAGAATTTCCACTACAAATTAATTTCATACTTAAAAATAATTTTCCCCTCATTTCTAATTCTAAAGTTTATTGGGGGAGAGCTTAAAAATGATCTCTTAACTTTTCTCAGAAGTAGGATGTTCTAGAAACTTGATTTCATCTCGTGTTAAACCACTTATAGATTCACCTTCTTAAAGTACTGCATTAGCTTTTAAAAATAATAATCTGTATCACTCACAAACAAATTTTCAAATTTCATGGTTATCTATTTGCCTGAGTCAGTCACTCTGGTTGCTTTTAGCCATCACTATTTTCTATTCTCAGAGGGATAATAGAAGAGAAAATGTTTCTGTAATCAAATACTACACATCTAATCCTATTAGTCCCCCGGAAGGAGAAGATTTCACAAAGGTGCCTCTCCTGGCCCAAGCATACCCCCAGCCATTTTTGCCATTAGACCACAGTATTCGCCACCGCCACTCTGCCTCTTGCTTTATTTCCATGAACCAAAACACCCCAAATAGGGTTGACGGCATCTTCTCCCTTCTCACACATCCAAATGACTCACATGCCTTTATTCAAGCTTGTCTAGAAGTGCTTATCTATGCCCCTGTTGTATCCATGCTGTAACTGTGTTCTGGGTAATATGTTGATGCCCACACAGTCACTGGATAGTAAGAAATGAATGGATTAAATAGTTGCAGCTTATCCTATTAAGTAAAGCATAATTATCAGAGTCTGTGAAGACAAATCAGTGGGTCAGATTGCTTGCTGCACAGCATGAGGACCTGAACTTGGATCCCAGTGCTTAAGTAACAAACTGTCTTTAATAGCTTTGTGCACATCTGTAACCCCAGCCCCGTGGGTCGAGCTAAGGCAGGAAGATTGTTGGAGCTTGCTAGCCACTAGTCCACCTCCAGAATCAATAAGAGACAAAGAAACAAGGCAGAGAGAAAAATAAAACAGGACACTTGACATCCTTTTCTGGCTTCCAAAAAAATCTGCACACAGGTGACACACCAGCACTGCACACAGGTGTGCACGCACCATGCACGCATACATATACGGGAGAAGAGAAAGGCATACATGTAAGTATACAAGTATAATTAAGAGACAAAGAAAAATGAGTTAAGAGAATTACCCCACAATAAATGACCCAAACATCATTTAAAGTACTGAAGGGATCCTTTTGTTTGAACTCAGATAATGTAAGCCTTCTCATTAGGAAGCTGCTTCCTCATTGGTTTATGACAAAATATGAGTGTAATTTCCTGTCCCCACAACACAACTGGTTTCTCTTCTTGATACAAGCAGATCTGCCAGCCTCCTCGGTCAAGAGAAGCATCACTCCCGAAATGGGTGAGTATGATACTTAAGGCTAGAGCGAGAGTTCAAAGTACACAGAGTACTGGGCATAATGATCAACAGCGCTCGTGGTGTTTCATCTTGTTTGGGTTTTGTGAATGTAAGGCGAAACTTTGTGAGATGGAAATGAGGAAGGCACATGGTTTCCTCTACTTTGAGTAGTGATAAGGGGATGTCAGGTCTCAGACTTCGAACCAGTCAGGAGAAGGTACGGGTAGAGCTAAGGAGACTGTGTGTGCTCAGCCTTCTCTTCTGGATGCAGCTATTGGGACACTGGGATGGTTCTGCCATCCCGGGCTACGGTATAGCTGCCTACTTCTACTTCCTCACCAGGGCAGTGAGTCTAGAAAAAGCTTTTAGATTCCTCAGGAATTGCAGGAGGTTAGAAAATTTTGTTTCAAATGTCAGTAAGCATCAATTGTAACTATTTGTTAATAAATAACTGTTATAGTGCCAGAGGCACGTGGAGACCCAGTAAGCAGCAAGCAAGCTCACAGGAGAAAGCAAATACCTCTGGAACCCTGTGTAAGAACAGTTTGCTTTGAGCTATGTCATCCATTATTTAGATTATTTTTAGAGCTATGCTGTAAATTGTCTTTTGGGCACTTCCAAAAGTTTAGGTTGATACCATCCATATTTTCAATGAGGGTGGCAAAAATTATTTCTTAAAATTTCATTAAAGTGGTCTAAATAATATTTGGAAAGATACAGAAGTAATACAGTTTGTTTATCCCGTTAACTTCTAGATGCACTTCCATTGGATGAACAAGTGCTGTCTGAAATGTTTGGCATCATATGTACCAAGTCCCTAGGCTACCCTGTGATGCTCTTGATGTAGGAGGGAGAGAGTATATTGCTGGCATTAACACGCGGCTTTCCATGTGCTAGGTTCTTGGCCTGATAGGCAACGCTATCAGGCAACACTGACTCACATGGAAGGAAACAAACTTGGAAGAGCCTTTAAAAAGGCAAGCACAAGCTCATGCTGCCTCTGTTGCCCAACAGATAAGATACTATCTGCTTCATCTAGCCATCCCGACAAGTGGCAGCTCTCAGCAAGGCAGGAAGTGTGTTTATAACTAAAGAAAGGAATTCTATTGGGAACTCTAAAACCTCCCTAAATAATTTTCTCTGTCTTATGCTTTTGTGGAGAAAAACCTATACCTATTTAGCAACACACAAAAAGAGGCCCCCTCTGCCCCACCCTCCTATTCTTGGTCCTGTCTCAAGAGAGGAGACTTTTATAGTTTAGGTGTTTTCCCCCACATGTGTAAACCCATCCAAGGGTGTGTTTGCTGACATTGATGAAAGTCCCGTCCTTAGTGGGCTTTGCAGACTTTCCTGTGGTTCAGGGCGTTACTTTCTGTCTCTGTCGAGAGTCTTTGAAGGGTTCTTCAAGAAGTGAGGAGTAAATTTCCCGAGTGTTAGAAACCTGCAAATGTCTAGGTTTTGCTTCAGGACTTGCAGTTTAATCCCACCAGGAATATAATGATATTTTCTTGGAACACAGAAACATGAATAGTCATCTGGTTCTGTCTCCCTGACATGTATCCTTTGTACGCAAGCCGTCTCTCTTCCCTGACCCTTTTCTCCTCTTAGTTTTTGGTCTCTGCAGTTTGAGCACAGTGTGCCTAAGAACCAACGGTTCACTTTGCCCCATCTGACACTTCCTAAGCTTCACAAGTCAGAGGAATCCGTGCCCCTGATCAGTTCTAGATAGCAATCAGCCGCGATGTTTGTGAGCACTGCTTTTCACTGACCTCCCTTTGCTTCCTTCCTGGAGCTTGAACTGCACATGCACTGACCTTTTCTGTTTACTCTGCTTGTATCTTTGATGTTTTCCTATTTCTTTTACAGTGGTAACTTCGTTCGACTTCTTTAGCTTTATGTACTATTGTCCTCTTCTAAGGAATTTTTGCTATTATATTTTTATTTTTTTAAAAAAAATTTCTTCTAATTTTAAAATAAAACCTAGTTATTCAGTTCTTAACATTTTCTCTCTCCTCCATTCCTCTCCCCTCTCCCCTGCTTTTGACTCAGGGTTTCATTCTCTAGCCCAGGCTGTTTGCAAATTCAGGGTCATCCCTAAGCCACAGCTTCGCAAACACTGGAATTACAGGAGAGAGCTATCATCCTCTGCTGCTGTTCTTCTTTCTCTTCATTCCTCATGTGTTCTGATTCCGTCTTTTACTTCTTAAAGCTGATCAAATCCACATTTTGTGTTACATGTGTATTTGTTCGTTTCTTCTAGGTGTCAAGAACTTTTTTTGTTTATTAAACCTTTACCTTCTGTGAATCTTTCCATGACTGTCTAAACGTTTTTTTTTTATTGATTTGACCAATTTTCACATAAGAAAAAAGAAGTAAATTAATTTCTTAGAAAGACTTGTGTGGACCATCTCCATGCCAAACGTGTTGCCGAGATGCTTTTGAACCCCAGTCAACAGAGCAGTTTGAGTCCACCTCTTCTCCTTTTACTTACAGTATTGTAGTCACGCGGACAGATGACTATATACTAAGCACACAGTTAAATCTATTTTTACAACTGAACCTGTCCAAATCAAGTGTACGGCTTGACAGTTTTACAAACTGAACACGCTCAGTCAGCCAGTGTCCACCCAAACTCCCAAGTGGCCCCAGCAGCAAAGGAATGGGGAGCGCTTCTCTATGCCATCGTCACTTTACAAAGGAACGAGCCCCAGAGCTCAGCAGCTCTGAGGATGGAAGTTGATCATCGCAGCCTTCTCCCAGAATTGAAGTGGCTCTGTCCCCTCCTTTCCGAACTGAGAGTGAGGCACAGTGAGCTTCATTCCATGAGAAACAGAAGAGGGAGGGAAAGTTGTCTATCTGTGTATTAAAGCTTGACGAACCATAGTGCCTTACAGTGATATTGTATAGTAAATTGAAACCTGCAAATCATGTAGCCATGTAGTTTACATACACTCCAAAGCAAAAAAAAAAAAAAAGCATTTTATCATCACAACCGAATAACTGAATTTTCTATTTTTATCCACCAAAATGACTCTAAATGTTTAACAAACTTTGATTATGATTATTAGGCACTGTCTGGTGAGAAATATAATTCTCTAGAAGCTAGCATCCTTTGAGAAATTCTTATTTGAAATAGGCAAAGCATCTCAGTTTGATTTTATTTACTAAAGTTCATTAATTGTTTCAAAATATTTGATATTTTCAATAAGTGAAAGACGTCTGCTTGGAAACCATGACAGTCATTGGGTGGTATATCTTGTACGTATCTAACCTATCTTAGTTCATCTTTCGTTACAGAAACGGGACACTTTGGAAAGAATGCCAAAGTGCATGACAATAAAACCCGTGGGCTCACATTTGCACCAATCTCCAATCTCCTGTAAGAGTCAAAAGGGCAAACTGAGAGTGTGTGACCTTTCAAGAAAGCTAAACACCCCGTGACGTTGAGCAGGAAGACTTCCAGTGGTTAAACTCTGTCCACTGCTTTAAGTCACCTCCAGGAGCGTGGATGCTGCCTTCTGGTGGTGGCAGTCTATGTAAAAACTTGATCTAGCACCACTCTCTGAATGCATTGGAGACTTGTTTAGAACTTCAAAAACCAAGGAAAATCTAAAAGAAAAAAAAAAAAAACTCCTAGCCAAAAAAAAAAAATTGACATTGAAATCTTAACAAGGAGGCAAAGCTTCCTCCTTTGCTCTTCACAGCCTAAGAAGTGATGTGACTGCCACTGTCAAACAATGACGATGAACAGCACGTGTGTTGAGGAGCAACACGACCTAGATCACTACCTGTTCCCAGTGGTCTACATATTTGTGTTTATAGTCAGCGTCCCGGCCAACGTCGGGTCTTTATGTGTATCCTTTCTGCAAGCAAAGAAGGAAAACGAGCTAGGAATTTACCTCTTCAGTTTGTCACTGTCAGATCTGCTGTACGCATTGACGCTGCCTCTGTGGATCAATTACACCTGGAATAAAGACAACTGGACGTTCTCTCCCGCCTTATGCAAAGGAAGTGTCTTCTTCACGTACATGAACTTCTACAGCAGCACGGCGTTCCTCACCTGCATCGCCTTGGACCGCTATTTAGCCGTTGTCTACCCGCTGAAGTTTTCGTTTCTGAGAACGAGAAGATTTGCCTTCGTGAGCAGCCTGTCTATCTGGATACTGGAGTCCATCTTTAACTCCATCCTCCTGTGGAAAGATGAGACAAGCGTCGAATACTGTGCTGCGGAGAAGTCCAACTTCACGCTGTGTTACGACAAATACCCGCTGGAGACCTGGCAGATCGACCTCAACCTGTTCAGGACGTGCATGGGCTACGCGCTGCCTTTGGTCACCATCATGATCTGCAACCATAAAGTCTATCAAGCCGTGCAGCACAACCAAGCCACGGAGAACAGCGAGAAGAGAAGAATCATAAAGCTGCTTGCGGGCATCACGCTGACTTTCGTACTATGCTTCACGCCCTTCCACGTGATGGTGCTCATTCGCTGCATCTTAGAGCGCAATATGAACTTCAACGACAAGTCTGGAAAGCAGACGTTCACAGTGTACAGAATCACAGTGGCTCTGACAAGTCTAAACTGTGTCGCCGATCCAATTCTGTACTGTTTTGTGACTGAAACGGGGAGAGCCGATATGTGGAACATATTAAAATCGTGTACCAGGAAACACAATAGATCACAAGAACAAAAAAAGGAAGTAATTTCTGTGTCCACAAGAGATACCATAGAACTAGAGATTATAGCATAAAAGATGAAAGCAGGTTAAGATACGTGATGTTACACAATAAAAACTGTATTTTTGAAAGTAAATCTGGTATAGGAGGACCAAGTGTTCTGAGTGAGTACTTAATTCTACCCCAGCAGAAATATTTTAAAGGTACATTGTACAACCCCTACATTGACTTTCATTAAATAAGGTATGGAAATGTGTCATTTTCTAAAGACTTGGCGTCTTCCTTGTTGGTAGAAATTCTCTCCCCTCAGAGGCATGTAGGAGTGTTAGTCTTTAAATCAGTGGCCGTTCTGTCTGATGGTTATAATTTTGCTCTTGTTGTTCTATTTTTGGATTTTTCACACTGTCAGCCACCAGTCTTCTCATCTCTATAAACCTGTACCTAATATAACTGCTGAATGCTATTTCTATTCCACTCATTAGCAACATTGAAGCCACTCCATATACTGGGATTTTCCATTAAGTACTGGGGTTGTGAAAGAAACGTTCTCATGGACCTTCATGAAGTTTACATTGATTTGGGAACCGAGTCACTGAGTGATGTAAAAGAAAATGGACTTTGTATTTTGATCTTGATTTCTTTAAATTTATAGCTAAATACATGATTGCTGGAACTGATATAAGTTTCCATCCAGACAAATATGTATAGACATTCTCCCCTTAGGCTTCCCTTTTGACTTAGAATATGCAAAGAACTTGATACAGTATATATAATCTTTCAAATCTTCATTGTGGAATTAATCTGCCTAGCTTTAGGTAGGCATTGGGTAGGCATTTCTTTTAACCAAAGGATTTTTGAAGGTTTTTTTCCTACCCTACTTTTCCCTTTGCTCCTTCTCTTTCTTCTCTTTCCTGTATATTCTTTCTCCTTATGCAGAAATGCTCAGCTAGCAAGTGTCGATACCACTTCGAAGCTGCACATCATGAAACAAAAGCATGGATGTGTGCATATGTGGCATTAGTTTATCACTGGTCTTCCATGATGATGTGTGCACACAGTAGAAAGCTACCTTGCCTTGGTACCATATATCCAGGCACTGTTCATTGCATTTTTCTGCTCAAAATGCTTTCTTAGAGTCAATACCTTCTGTCTGCATTCTAAGACTAAAGATACAGTATTCAAATGAAAAGTCGCGAAAATCATTTGAACTGCTTAGTTAATTTTTGGTTAAGTTATTGGTGGTCTCTAGAAATGCATTTAAAGGTAAAAAGCCCAGGAATAATACCTTGAATGCATATGAAAATTTAGATGTTGATTAAGGGACTTCAAGACCACAAAGATCCAGACCTTGAACCAGAATCATGACTTGATTTTCGGACTTGACTTTGCCTTTTATGACAGTTTAAAGGGGCTTTTTATTTTTTTTTTATTTTTTTTTTTTAGTATTTTCAGGTATTTTTTTTTTTAGTAAATTTTATTAAATTATAAAAGTTTCCATTTCCACCCCCCCTCCCAACACCCTCCCACTCCCCCTACTCCCTCTCCTCCTCCCTCTTCGTCCCCCAGGGCAGTCAATTAAAGGGGCTTTTTAAAATAATTACTTTCTTTATGCATGAAAAACTAATATAGTTGTTGGGTTTAGGTCAAAATGGGGAATGAGAGTTTTATCACTATTTATACCTCTGGAAGTTAAATTCAGATAGTAATTACACTGACCTGTTCTAGAGACTTGCTTAGGATTTTTCTTCAGTTGGTTTTGAAAGAGACACAACAAACACAAACTTGCATGACCACTGACTGGAACATTATAATTAGATAATTAACACTAACACATTGGTTTAGCAGATTGTAGAGTTAATTTACCGAAATCCGGACTATCAAACCTGCTAGCAACCTGTGAGCAGAGACGGTGATGAAGCCAGGAGGTTTCTCATATGACTTAGAACAGAGCACTCTAGACACGACTGAATGCAATCCCCACTGAAAAGTTAACCCTTGAATCTTTAAAAAGACTTCCCGAGCCCCTCATTAAGATTTCCCCATTAGGCCGACAGTCTTCCTGGGAGGGAAAAGAATTTCTAGCTTTAATTACCCATTGAGTTTTGACCAGTTGTTGGGAAATTTGCAATGATTTCCCCAAAGCTTGCTTTCTACAAAATGCAGGAACCGTGGTAGCTCCTGCTCTTAAGACTTCTTTAAGCCAGGAGGTGACAGTGCACGCCTTTAATCCCAGCACTCTGGGAGGCAGAGGCAGGCAGATCACTGTGAGTTTGAGGACAGCCTGGTCTATAGAATGAGTTTCAGGGCAGTCAGAGATACACAAAGAAACCCTGACTTGAAAAAAGAAAAAGAAAAACCTTATTGTTATCTTCTGTGTGTGGGTGTTTTGCCAGCAGCTACGTCTGTGCTCCATGACAGCATCTGTCTTCACCAGGTAGACAGGAGAACAAGGGGCACTGCCACAAGCTGTTTATTGCTTTTAGTTACACCTATTCTCATCAGGACTGTGGCCAGCTACCTAAGAAGTAGAAGGTACTTCATAGGACCCTAAGAGGAGATTAGAGCAATGAGAACCAACTGGAGCTGGACACGGCTGTTATACTCTCCAGATGCTCAAACACTGCCATTAAGGCAACCCAAGGTCTTTCATATTTTCTGGGTCTGTGGGAAATTCTCAATAGTGCCAGTTCCTGGGCAATCCCCACCCCAAGGAGACACACTGAAGCCATCAACATACAGCTAGATATTCATTTTAAAGTATTTGCTTATGTGATTGTTTTGATTGGTTTTCTTATTCAAAATGATATTTTTTTAACAGCATGTACATTTTTTTGAAAAGCCAGAGAAGAGTCTACCTGTAGGTGGGGTTTCTTTGCTTTGTGGTTTTGGTTTTCGTTGTTTTTGGTGGTTTGCTTTTTAGCCACCACTTTCTCTGCCTTATTTGGGAAATCTTTGTGGAAGAAAGGAATTGTAAAAGACATAGAAATTAGCTCTTTGTTCTGTACGAATTATAAACATTATCTCCCTGAGAACACCTGTAGCAAATCTTTGTGTGCAAAGGGAGGCATTCGTGTCCCTTTTCTCTCTGCCAAGGACACTGGGGGGGTCTCCCCTTTAGGGTAATGATTGGATAAGTCACTACTCACCAGTTACCTCTGCCGACTTTGTTAAGCTGATTATTTATTTATTTTAGTGAGATGAGTTTGATTTCAAATATAACCCATGATACAGAGCACACGGGCATCTCTTTAGCTTTCTCTATCATCTCATTCCGGGTGCTTCTTTTTACCTGATCCCACACTCATCTTTCTCCTATCCATGATCAGGGCTCTGTTCTCTCCAAGGGAAACCCATCCTGGTTGCTATGGTAACAGTTGCTACTGTAGCACTGTTGATCCAAGAAAGCTTTGTGAAAAGTGATCATAGCCTTGCCTATGTGGGAACCCATTATGAAATCAAAAGAATTCTGGCAGAGACAGGACTACAGATGCATAGACACAAGAACCAACAAACTTGCTCCATCTCATGAAAACAGAGAGGAAAAATAATCCCTGTAAGCCATTTAGAGTGAGCTTGTGCCTTTTTGTATAATGTCTAATACCAACTAACAAAACGCAAGGTCATGTTTTTTAACATCTAAGATTATGCGCACTTTTGGGTTCATTTAATTTTCTTGTTTAGCAGTCAGCAGCTGAGGAAAACATTTTAAACATTTTTCTTCCCTACTCCTGCTTTCCTTTTTTTTCACTGAAAGTGACAATCAGGTTTTTTTTTTTTTTAACCAGGGGTTTTTTGTTTCTTTCTTTCTCCCCATGTTTTATTTTCTATTCAACACATTAAACAAAACTAAAATACACAACGTATATATTTAAATGTTTTCAGCCACAGATGCTTTCTTCCCTCAAGACACAAAATTTTGTTTTGTAACATGTCTTAATAAATAAATAATAAATAAAGAGAAATAAACATGTTCTTTATTTATTCTTCTCTCATGCGATACACCCTGACCCACAGCCTCTCCACCCTCCACTCCTCTACACTCTCCCCCACCTCCCACCTCTCCCCTCCCCTAGAAGGGGTTGTTTTAAGAAAATGTCTATATTTTTTCCTTACACTGTTTGGGAAAATTTAGTCCTAAGTAAGTTATTCATTTACACCTCCTAAGTAGACACTACTGGAAGGAGCAATGCTTTATGTCTAGGAAAGCCAGCTGTGTTTTCAAAGTGTTCTCTCCTCTTAGCATAAAACCCAGCTCATTTCATGTTGCTGCTGCTGTTGTTTTTAAGACATTTGAGCACTGTAATCTCATTCTTTCTTGGTACTACTGCTTTTAAAATAAAGATGGAGCACACTGAGATAAGCTGTGTAGTACTAGTTACATTAGTTGAGTGCACCTGATCTTAAGAACTACCTAGAAATCACAAAAGCAGGTCAGATATTGGCTGAGGCGGAAATGATAGGGCAGTTAAGATTTTTTCTCTTCCCTTTAAAAAGTGATTCTTAGTACATTTGTTGATAAGCGGCGGTAGTCCTACTTGTGACCACTAGGGGTCAATCGTGTCCTACCACGAAATTTTGCAGGTTCTCTAGCGCCCACAAACAAGCCTGACCTATGATGCCTTTTCTTATCCAAGCTCACAGCAAACACCTCCTATGACCAGAAAATAACAGGAGGGATACGCCTGTATTACTTCCTCTGTTTTCTAAGGAGCTAGGCTATGAATTGTGGGTACTTTGATTTTCTTTGTACTACGAATGCCATTTCAAAAATGTTTTTACCAAGCTGGTTACAAGTGGTGAGTTCCACATGTAAGAGAGCATAGACGAAATTGTTTAATTTCTCTGAGATTATGGGTATAGGAGCTGGAGATCTGGCTTGATGGTTAAGAGTACTTGTTGCTCTTGCAGAGGACCTGGTACCTACTGCGTAGTAACTCACAACTGTCTGTACTCCAATTCCAGAGTATCCTAGGCCCATATATGACTTCCTAGGGATGCATGTAGTACATATGCATACATGCAGAAAAAACACTCATAAAAATAAGGTGAATAAATTTAAGATTTAGGAATAGATCTTACTCCAACCCCGTGTGTGTGTGTGTAAGGCATTTCAACTGTAGGCAGTTTGCATGTGAACCTGCTATTATAAAATTATTGTGTGGAACTCGAAATGCAATTCAATGTATGTGCAGTTTTTAATTTTTAATTCATTATTGTTAGATCACAGCACACACAAGCTGACATCTGTTATTTTGAATGATTTAAATC